AAATTGAAAAATAATAGGAATTTTATATTTTCAAAGTAGAACACATCTATGAAGATCTTGAAATACGCGTGAGGTAGCGTGAGGTAGCGTGTGTCAATAAATTTAATAGAAATTCTCGTGTTACGCGTACGGCCGTCGTGCAACGATGAGCTTTTTATATGTTTTACGTGATCCTTTGATTCGGCTTTTTTTTTTATCGGAAAAAATCCTTCCTTTATCGTCTGTTTCATGTCGCGCACGTGAAATGTACTTTGGCGCGTTATAATACATATATAGCACACATATATTACAGCGCGCGTTTCAAAGGTTGTTTCACGTGGCATGCGTCATATATGTACAAACACGTATGTGCTTCTCTCGATTTTTCCGCAAATCGATACTAAGTCCTTCCTTTTAACTTTTTCGTGGACACTGGTGGACACACCGGTGACACACAATGGTGCTTGATTGACCGATACTTACCTATAGTCGAATTTTTGTTGTGGATTCGTATTGCGTTTCAGATGAGAAGTGCTCCTGTGTTGTTTGCCGAGGGACGTGCAATTTGTGATGATATCGATCGAATGAGGACCATCTAAACGGGACAGAAGTTGCACTTCTTTTTCTTGGGATAGGAATCATGATTAGCTTTCGTTCCTCCTAGTAGTAGCTATTTATATGCGATCGGTATTTTATCCGGCACAAGTTTCTGCAATCTTTGAGAGAGAGAGAGAGAGAGAGAGAGAGAGAGAGAGAGAGAGAGAAAGAGAGAGAGAGAGAGAGAGAGAGAGAGAGAGGGAAGTGAGGAAAAAAGCGGAAATTATAACTGTCATCTTTCTTCGAAATGGAGCGATAACAACATATTGATATAGGACGATCGCGATTTTATTTATCTTCAGCGTGATTCATTCTATGTTCGTCAAATCTTATTAATAATAGTAGTTTTGCTGCCTATATATTCGAACTGAAAAAGTTCATCGTTTAAACATATCCTTCTGTTAAGTTACAAGTGCAAGATACTATTTGAGAAAATATATATTAGATATTTTTAAAGAATCTTTTTTAAAAGATTCTAATGAACTTTACGTTTAACACGTGATTTGTGTAACGAGTTTTATATTATACCTATGTTTTACTGTCATAGTGAGATTTTTATCATTGTAAGCATATAATAACAAAATATTATGTAATATGATTAAATAAGCTTAATATCGATGATAGTGTGTTAAATTGCACATTTTTTAATTTTATATTGTTATTTAGCTATTTATTTGCTTCAAACTTTATATTATATAACTTTATTTTTTACAAATAATACTTAAAAAAATGTTGATAGTACAATCGTTTACGTTAACTGTACAAAAATAAAAAAATAGTTCAGTACAAATCAAATAAGAGAAAGAATCCTATTTTTGGTTAAAGCGGATCTTGGTACTTAATAACATATGCTATATTTTTTAGTTTTATAAATTACGCGCCGATTTGTTAGACTAAAAACGGAATCGCAGCTAAAATATTAACGTCACAAATTGAGTTAATGCTAAGATACTTACGCACTCTACTTTGTAATTCCATCCAACTGATGGGTTCGTATAAGCCTTAAAATTGTATTGAATTCTCCATTATCATATATATTATTTTATTTTTGTTGTAGCTGATATATTCGACGAAGTAGATGAACAAATCAAGAAACATGCTGGTCTACAAGCGGACTGTGTAGGCGGTGGAAGAATCGAACATGACCCTGACGAAAAGACCATCAAAGTTTATGGATATTCGCAAGTAAGTCTTGGAATTTTTAGTATGAAATTTATCGGAATATTTATTATTTGATCAATTTCGCACATCCTTGATTTAACCGACGTAAAAATATTTTATTTTTCACGTATATATGTTTTTGCTCTAATAAAAATAACGGGTTTCTTCTAATAAGTATAGTATTTTATCCATTTCTGTTTATTACAAAATAACAGCAGTTTGATTTTCCGATTGTGATTTTGTATATTTTTGTATTTTCTATTAATTTTTTACTATTTACTGTGGTATTGTGTGCCACATGTATATTTAATTCATTTTCCAACGTAGAGATTCTTTGTTAACCGAAATTATGTTCGTACTTATCAAAGTAAGACTGATAATTGGTCGACATGAACCGTGATATATTCCTAGTATTAGTAAATAGCAAATCTTCAAATGCGGATAGCAGAATACTTATGATTAACAGCGCATAAACATTTTCACCCCATGCTGTTGCTCGTTACGAGCTTCACGCCTACGTTCAGCAACGTATGTCGAACTTTAGCAGATTAAATTCGTTCGACCGACAAAATTGGTGCCTCTGACGCAAACATAATCGAATAGGAACTTACGTGCGTTTTATCAGTTGAATTGTGCACGTGTAAAATAGAAATTTCCTTCAGTGGAGTGTACTTCTTATATATTCCTAATATTATGTTACCAAAATTATATTACCGCAAATACAATAGTTGAAAGAATAGGAAAAGAATTTAAACGAAACGCGCGCTAACGTTAATAAAATTGATTCTTTTTTAAATTCAACACTCAAATTTTCTTTGAAGTGTACATATTTCGAACATTTTTTTCACGTTGAACACGATTGATACAGTTTGTGTAGCACATTTTACAATTTTGAATAAATTAAGATGAAATAAATAAAAAATGATTATTTTTAACATTTTTTAACAACAGAATAAAAGTTTGTTGCTTAATAAATGATATTTAAAAGCTCTTTAATTTTAGAGCTTTGAAATAAATTTTAGTTCACGATTGTGCTTATTTTCATCAAATGGTTGTTTAAATTTTAGGCTTTTTATATAATTATTACACAATTCGACAAAAAAATCACTTTTTTTCTCTGAAATACAATAATATATACCTTGAAAACTTTTTCACACTTAACACGATGCCGTCGTTAGAATTTGTGTAACATGTCAGGATTTTTAGTAAAAATTGAGGTACAATATTAAATTGGTTGTCGGTCCATTTCATATGATCGTGTTTAGCGCGAAAAAAAATTTTTTAAATAATCACACTTTGGAGAGAGAAAATAGTTGATTTTTTGCCGAACAGTAAATCAATATTAAGACAGATATTTTACATTCAACAACAAAAATTCCTCTATTTCGTTGCGAAACGCTTTCTAGTGTACAAATGCTATAAACCTTGAAGCTGCAGGTCGATCGACCTCCAAGCGTAAAATTGCAATTGCATTTACGTAAACTTGGAAATGTCCGTCGACTTCCGTAACGCAGTTGGATTTTATTGAGCTATGTTATGGCATTTACGATCATAGGTATTTCACGTAAATAAGACAATTATTATGAGTGTGTTGCAAAAATTCAGACGGTGCCATAAGTTTTTACTTTCACACGATATCATTTAATTTTATGACATGCTAAACGCGCAATCCACTAGAGCATTGTGTTTTTTATTATGGAACTTCTTCTTCTACGCTTTTATTTAAAGCAGTTTTTTTTTCTTTTAATTTCCTTTTTTTTCTTATATAATTTTATAATGTCATATTATTATATCGACAATTATCATAACGCATAGGCACCTTGTATTGGCCTGAATATTTGTTTTATTTATTCGATAAAAGAGTAGATAGTTTATTTTAATTAAAATGCATTGCTTTAACCCTGCTATCTTTTGACAACATTCTTGACGTCAGGATTACTACTAGTAACCTTTCTCAATGTAAATTTTAATCATACTGCGTTGAGTTTATTACATAAAGAGTTGTATAACTTCAATTTGGCTACAAGTTGCAATTTGTAAGGACGAAAGTAAGGACGCTATTAGACTACCGTCTTTATTATCTTTAGTAAATAAATTTAAGAAGAATTTATATAAGAAGTACGATAGATATAGCGAAGTTGCGCGTTTTGTAAAATATGATATGAACGCCTCAACATGCTGCATATTCATCCTAGAGAAAATATCTTAGTGCTATATTATAAGGAATAAACAAGCCGATATGTCTTAAAGCGGCGGAAGCATTCCGAATTCGAGAATTTAAATTGAATTTTGCAATCCATTCTGAAATATTATCGGATAAGTCATATTACAAGAGCTTTACGAGAAATTGAGATTGACAAGAAAATATTTTTTAAAACACAAGATTTAAGAAAAAGATTCGAGTGTATATATTAAAAAATTAAAGAATCCTTAGATAGAAGTGAAATTAGTAGATTTAAAGAGGGTCTCGCCCTAAATTTAACAACGCCCGGAGGAGATTAATTTTAACATCATCCTTAATGCTCTGTTTTCGTATCGCTAATTACAGCTACAAGCAACGGGGGCGTATTTTATCTACTTCTGTCTTCTTGAAGATTATTCCTGTGATCCCATGAGAACATGATTTAATACCGTAAAATTTACGTGAAGAGTAACGATATTATGTATGGAAAAATTAAAAAGTATCAAGTTATTTTATTAATATTTATAATAACTGTGAGATTCTTCTGTAAGATTAAAAACTATAAAATATTTTATGTAATTCTCTCTCTCTCTCTCTCTCTCTCTCTCTCTTTTTCTTGCTATGCAAGATCAATTAGAAACATGCGATGTTTCAAATTAATATTAACTTTTCGCTGGTCAGTTGAACTTTAAAAGCATAGTCAATATTTTGATTATGAATTATGATAGAATACAAATTACATCTGTAAAAAAATCTGTATTGAAGCTCAAAGATCTAGGTTATTGATGGAAGATGCGAAATTTCGTGACTGTAGATATAGATAGAGGGTTAATTCAATATTATTTTATTATTGGGCGCATTCAAATCGACAAAGTGGCTAGCCTGCTTGCCGAGCAAATGAATATTATTGATTGTTACTTATAGATTCAATCAATCATATTCAATCACTTGCCAAGCAGGCTAGCAGCTTTGCCCAGCTTGAACGCGCCGATTAATACTAAATTGCGATTTAATATTAGTACATTATTATAAAAACAAGTAATATAATTATTACAAAGAAATCCATTAAATTATTCATTTGCGTTATTCAGTGCATTTATACTGTTTTTCTTTCAATCTCAGAACTTTTTACTGATTTGAGAGTCTTTTTTTTAGCACTCGCATTTAGCTTTCTTTAAATACAGCATATTTCAATTTGCCATCATAATTTTATCTAAAAGAGTCTATCCTTAGCTTAATTTTCATCTTCTTTATTTTTTTTAATTTTCTTTTTCTTTCGCGCATTGCTGCAATCAACGTGACGGCTGTGGCGATGTCAAATATACACTTCATTAAAATTGAATAACGCGAAGTCTATTCTCGTAACAATTTCTACCAACTAATTCATTATGCTGGCGAATATGTTAATTGAGTATGATAAAATGAGCTAAACTTTGTCACGTAAAGGTCATAAATGACATGACATTTTTGTACATTTATTTTTGGAAGATGTAATAGACAGTTAATCATTTTCGACTAATTTGATTTATAGGGTTTTGGCAAAGCGGATCATCAAGTGTCGGTTGAGTTATTGAAGAAAAAATATCCTGCCTACAATATCACGTGCTCAGACGAAGGTTACTAATCAAGAAATAAATACATGATGGCGCGATACACTATGTCTTTTAACTTAACAAGTATATGATACAGGATTGAATATTGCTTTGTTTATTTAATACATTATATATTTAATTACTAATACAGTTACTAATAAAATGTATGTATGTGCGCATCGAATGAAATTAGATATGTCTTAATTCTTAAACATTCTAACTGTCTATCTGTTTTATGGAATGTCGCATAAAATGTAAGTAAATTAAATAATTTTTTAATTAAACAAGGCTAATTTATTTATATTTTTCTCTAAAATTTCTTCTTTCTGTTTTATGAAATATTATATGTATTGTATAAAAAAATACATAAATTAAGTAATTAAAATTAAAGAAAACTATTCATTTATTTGTTTTTATATTTACATCCCTCTCGAAAATTTCTTTATGTACGAATTTTTATTAATATACCTTAATTAATATATTTTTAAAATAATAAATATTTAAAATAATTTTATTTTCTATATCTTTCCCTACTTCCTCTTTCATCGTTTAGAATCAAAATATATATGGATGTTTTTATTATTTTGAAAGAATATGCATATATATGTATATTTAAAGAATGTCTTAATATTTTTTAATAATTTTGTATTTTCTTATTTATTGTTATTTATTTTGTATTTTCTAAAATTGAGAATGATAAAATGGTAAATTGCATTTTAGACTGTAGTTATTAAAGAGATGAAACAACTCAATCTTATTGCGATATTGTTCAAGGGTAAGTGACCGAACTATCCTATGTAGTTGTCGGTATTTCAGCGGACTAGTAGAACAGCAATCGATAACAGGAACGACCAGATTTAACATTTCCTATATAGATGATCGCCAGTAGTTATATCGAGTTTCGGTTTTCTTGCTGCAACACTAGATGACTACAGCAGTATAAAATATGAATTTATATTAATTACACATTACGTACAAAAATGTGTATATTGAAATTATTGTTTTTGAATTATGTTTAAAATTCAGTTATTTAATTCAATTTTATATAAATTTAGTTAAAGTAAAAATAAAAATTAAAGCTGGTATTAAATGTAAATTTAAATTTAATACCAGCTTTAATTTTTATAATAAAGATTGGTACACACAGTAAAGATTTAGTTGTGAATTAATTTAAAGTAATATTCATAAAAAATATTTTAAAGTATTTAAATTAATATTTTAATTTAAAGTATTTTTTGAGATAAAAATTTTGATCCTAGAAGAGAAATTTTTACATCTTGATTAAAATGTTATTTTTTTACTTAGCGTAAGCATTTTCTAATAACATTTATTTATATACAGGGTGCGGCAAAAGTCCTACTACCATTTTGATTGCGATATGTGACGTATAGCTCAGTTTAGCTTTAACCGTTGTGTTGTGTAGACGTCCAAATTTTATATGGTAGCGGGACTTTTGCCCCACCCTGTACAATATATTCGCATAATAAAGCGCATGATACGTTAATTTATGTCTTACATATTCGAACAGTTGAAATTGAAACAATCGATGTTTATTTGTAACAAACGCCGTGTGCTTATTGCCCAATCATTTAGAATATGTCGGGCGCCTGATGAAGTCGTTAAAATTTTTTAAGTTATATTAGTATATTTAACCATGTTTTCCCGAGCCGCAAAATCAGTTGTAAAATCTGTTGGATCACATCGAATCTATACTGGTGAAAAGAATTTCAAGGTATTTACGATTAAATTTTGACAGCGAGAGATTTTCATTTTATACATTTTTATCTGCTTCGTTATCATAGATTAAATTGTCTATTTATACTTTTTATTAATATTAAGTTGGTGTAATTAAAAATATTAATTTAGATTGCTCTAATTGGCGGCGCAAGAGAAATCAGTCAAACCCTATCTCAGTTATTAAGAAATAATGTGAAACCGAATGTCCTTGCGTTATACGATGTGGCAGCTGTCAACAAGCCTTTTTACAATTTCTATCATGAACAGCCATTCAAATCTATTGTAAGTGATTCACTATTTACATTTTATTGAAAAAAGTTTAATATAATATGTAAATTAAACAAATTATCATTATAATTAACAATTTTTATTAAAGAAAAATATTTTAAATATCTGTAAAAAAAAATAAATATCAATTAAATAGCCGTCAGAAATGTCAACAATGAGAAAGAAATCCTGTTTGGAGGAAGGCAATCGTTCAAATACAGTAATTAACAGCACGAGACAAACAGACAATAATAATCATCAAGGAAATAATGGAAGGGTAAAGAATAAACTTATTTATTATTTACGTATCCATTTGTATTTATTAGAACTTATTCAAATCTATTAATTATATTTAATATATTAATGTTTTTCATTGATTATGTGTAAATATTTTGTTTTGCAATATTAAGCAATGAAATAGATTTTTATAAAATTACTGAAATATTTTTTCTAATTTTTAATATAGAACTAATGAATTTGTCTTCCTATTTTAGAATTATCTTTATTTAGTATCGTTTTAATAATTTTATTATTTAGAATTAATAATATGTTTTATTTAGAATAAATAATGAAGTTCAAGTATTAAATAAAACTGTTGTATATTTAAATGTGAAAGATTAAATATAGTACATTAAATATAAAAAAAATTGTATGATAAAGTAGTTGGTTTTTATGTAGAATCAGACAGAGAAACTTGTGGAAGCTCTTTACCGTTTACCAATAGCTGAAGAAGTTCCAGCACTTAACAGTCCATTGGTACCTATTGAGGAATTAATGTCAAAGGTAAGAGAAAAATAAATATAAGGGGAAAAAAGTCTGTAACATTTATATTTTAAATTTACATATACAAAAAGTTGCTTGATAGAATTATTCACTTTAAAGAATATAGTTAATGTAGGATTATACTTAATAGCTATCCTTATACACACATTAGTTAATCCTAGTTGTGAGAAAGGTAAAAATAATTTTTAATATATTGTACACATAATCGCATGTATGCTCAATTTGTTGTATATTCTCTACAAATTTATAAAATTTTTTTTCATGGAATATTTTATGGAATATTATTACATAAAGTAAAAGTATTTTTTATTACGCACAAGTAAAAAATTAAAATGAAAATAAATTTCATAAAATTAAAAAGATTAAATTTTATAGAATTAGAAAAAAAAATCATATTTGTCATGCTTTTTAGAGTTATTTATTATCTTGATTCTCTTTATCTCTCTCTCTCTCTCTTTCTCTCTTTCCTCTCTCTCTTTTTTTTTATCTGTGTATCTATCTGTTACCAGAGATATTGATTTTGATATTATAATATTTCAATTTCAAAGAATGCTTCTATTTTAATAATTATTGTAACATAAACTGTATTGTCATTTTACTGGCAAAGGACAATAAGAATCACAAAATTAGCATATTCGCGTTTAAGTATATGACAAACAATCAATATCAACTTTCGCTATTTTTGGATGATATAGTGCATTATTGAAGAAACTATAATTTCGTACATATTAGTCATCTTTGTGAGACACTTTATTTAGCAAGATTTTCTTGGGCATTTAAAATTGTTCAAATTACCACTTAAATAAAATAAATCGTGATGCGTAGTGCAAATATCAAAATAATT